TACATTTTAATGGTGTGAATGCAAAGTAAACAGGCTTTGGCTCCTAATAATAACACAGACTGAGACTCAAGTCATTCAGTGCCACTTAAAACTCAATTCCAGAGTGATATTAAGGAGAAATTCCTCTCTAAGACCACTGCTCTTCAAAATACTGATCATGTTATACAGGTTGTGAACTTCAGTCACTATAGGGTAACACCTATGATTTTATGCACCAAACAGAGGAGAGTACTGAACCAGGCCCCTCATTTGGAAGGACAGTGGTCTGAACTTACCTAAAGCAAGACTCTGGGCATGGTTTTACTATCGCTGCAGCAGCATGAATCCACAGTCATTTTGATGTGGTGGTGGCTGCTGTCTCACCTGAGCTAGCTGAGCCTCCACCCTCAAAGGGACACGTGAAAACCAAAAACTTGCTCTCCGGTGACTTGACAGTTTGGTTTTTGGTCCTTTCAAGCCTTCTTGCTCCTAGTCACAACTTCAAGCCCTATCTGAAGATGTGCCCCTGAAGACTGCCCCAGCTCTCCCTTGGAAATGCCCCTCAAATCAGCTTTTCCCCACCTCGAAAATCCCCTCTGTGCTGGAGGAATCTCCCAGCCAGCACATCTTCACAGCTCCTCCTGGTCACTTTGCAATGACACCCAGCATCTGACACGTTCATCAGGAGCCATCGGTGAAGCAAACGTGGCAGTGCAGTTTCTGTTCTGCACAGTGACACCCCATTTAATACCCTACAGCCTTAAGACAGAGGGCCTGTGACACATCCAGGCCTGTTTCTCCCACTAAACCTCTGCTGTCTCCCAGCCACACATTTGCTTTGGACTTCAGTTTCAGCTTGACTTCAGCACATCAAACAGCAACGTTAGCACAGCATTTACAGGGCTTCCTTTCCCCGCTTGTGTTGAACAGTTCAAGCATTGTTATCTTATTTTTTGTTATAGTGTTTGCCTTGGTAATGCTGAACAAACCTGAAGCTTCCACTACAGCAAACACAAAAATTGACTGTTTATAGAAGAAATAAAGAACTAACACACTTTGAGGGTCTCTCTCCATTTATAGAAAACAGGCAACCTCTTCACGACAGCACAGCTTCCCTGATTGGTGAAAGTTTAGAAATCAAAAGAAGTGGCAGAAAACATGCAATTATATCCCCCTGAAGAAAATGAGTGCTGTACTCAGATTGGCAAACTTCATCTTCCACAAACCATTAATTAGCAGAAGATTCATCAACACTAAAGATCTGTGCTCAGTGCCAACCTGCTTACATTGAAGCTGGACCTTGCTCTCTCCTTTGGAACGCTCCTGATCTTTGGACTTGGTAACTGAAAGCTGCTGTTTCTGGCACTGATTCACGCGCGTGTGCACGTTAAGGAACCACTGCAACCGGAGCTGCCCCCTCGCCAGCCGCTTACACGTATAAAGCTGAGTTAAAAGAAGGTGTCTCTCTCTTGCCATCCAGCCCCTTATAAGAAGTAGATCACCAGAGGACTACTTACACTTTCAAAGTACTGCATTCTCCTTGTTTGACAGATTACACTTTAAGATGTTACATAAAAGCAAAAATAGTCACAAGTATTTTGGATCACCTGTCTAGTGTTAGCACTGCCAGAGATGAACTGTGCCAGGAGTGCTTTACATCAGCGTGAAAAAAGTCAAGAGTTCCTAAAAAAAAAAATGTTTTCCCTATGAAATATTTATTGAAAAAATAAAAGCAGCTAGCGTAAATGATGGCAAAACCCTTCAAACTAGATATCGCATAAAATGTGCTGTACTTCATGGAGACTAAAGCAAAAATAATTTTAGAATATGAAATTTGAGGTTTTCCTCGCTATTAGGACATTATCTCAAACTCCTTGATGCCTCTCAGGCAGACAACTCAAACACCTGGAATACTTATTATTTCCACCAAAACACTGCAAAACTCATTATTTCATCTTTCCCATTAAAAAAAAAGCAGGTGTACAAAGGAATACAATTACAACTCTTAATAAAACAGCACCAACAGATGTATTTAATGCTCTTTAAGACTGCTTCATCTGCAGACAAAACTTGAAGGACCTATGGCTATCAAGTTTCTTTTCGTTTGCTTTCAATCAGCTTCAGAGGAAAAGAAATCAGCTTGACACAAAAATCAAAGTGGTGTTTTAATATGCACAAAGTCTAGCTCCATTCCTTAGCAGTCCAATCCAGTTCCTGCAGAAAAGGAGTGGGTGGTTTTTGCTACCAACTTAAATGGAAGCAGGATCAGTCAGGAAAGGAGGAATATCTCCAGCTGTTACATTAGATGCTGCAATACTAGCCTGGACAATGGAACTATTCCCAAGGACATGCTCTCAGATACCTGTCTGGCAGCACAAACTGCTAATCCTCCACCTATCTCTACCACCACCACTAGTTCATTATGTTAAATCAGATTCCAAAGATACCATCTTATTATGTAAAAATGTACACATTTTAAGTTCAACCAGAGAGGGCTACTTTCAATTTACCCTGCTAAATCAACTGGCTAATTTCTACATCAAGAGAAGTACAAGCAGCAACAATTTTTAAGAAAACACAGTTCATTTTTATGGCTTGTTTCACCACGTGAAAGCTTCCTGTGCACTTGGATGCAAACTGAGGTGCCTCTGTCAATTTTGTACCCTGTGAGAAGTCCGTAAGACACGGGCACCTTCATTTGTGCAGATGAACCCCTAAAATTATCAGAATAGAAAGGCAGAAAGTCTCGTTTCTACTCACACACGTAAGCAAATGTTTACTCATTTGAGAGACACAAGCATTAAAACTGGTGTTTGGGGTAGCCAAGCCCCCTCCCACCGTTGTTTGAGCAATAGTACATTCTACGGTGGCCAAATCCAGCACCCACTGACGGCAGCGAGAGTCACCCCGATGACTGCACCAGGCACGAGATGAAAAAGCCTGGACTTTCCTGCTCCCGAGAGCTTTGAATCTGTCTGAACACACGCCGCCACACGCAACAGCTCTGGCGTGCTGCACTGAAGTTCGGGTAAAGAAGCTGACAGCCCCCTCCCCGGATGAAGATAAAATGGGCAGATTTGCTTTATTTTACACCGGCGGCAGACCCATAGCCGTAAATCAGCCACCAAGGGGCCCACTGGACAGCACACAATCCCCCTCCAAGATTTTTAACAAAAGTGGCCCTGGGTTTTCCAGCTGTGCTTCACAAAATGCAAGAAATGACAGCAGGTAACTGTACTCCTATTTTCATGCTTAAGGAGAACTTATCTTTCCAGATCCCGACATGAGTAAAGCAGCCAACGCTCTAAATCAAAGCGGCATCGCAAAAGACTTTTATTTCAAGCGCTCACCCACCCTGAAGAAAATCCCAATAAATACATTTTTCGCCACCGCTTCCAAAAGATGAACCGCCCTGCCCACAAAAGCCCCCCAAACGCCCGTTTCTCGCGCTGGCGCTGCTCCCAAGGAAGACCCATGAGCGCTATCGCTCAGGGAAAAGACAGGCTAATCCCCTGCCCTACCACCAACCCCTGAAAGGGCCAGGCAGCGGGGCCAGCCGGGTCCTGCCCAGCCATATGTCAGCTCTGCCACAGCGGAGTGAAAGTCTCCCCCAGGCCCCTTTAGCCCTCCCGGCACCACGGCACACACTTCTCGGGGTTCCCTGAAGCCCCCGCTCCTGCTGAGAAAGCGGGGCGAGGCTGCAGCCCCCCGGCTCCGGGGGTCCCCGGCGCACAGGGAGAACTTACCGCGGTGGCGCCGCTTCCCTGGCGTCGGATGGAGCCCGGCTCTGGAAAGCACAACCGGCCGCACTATCGCGGCCGGCACGGCCACCTCGATAAAAAAGTGTATTCCAGTTCCCCGCACCTGCTTCGGCCCGGGATCTCCACGCATCGGCGGGGAAGGGGGCGTATTTTAAGGGCAACTCCGCCGCTCTCCCCTCCTCTGTTCATCTCAGCACGATTCGCCCCCCCTCCCCCGCGGAGGAGAGGGGGAGGATCCCCGCCCCGAGCTCCTCTGCCCAGGCACCAATTTAAAGGTAGAGATAAAACAAGCCCCGATGACTCGGAAAGCCAGAGGGGGGTGTGAGCGGGTGTCGCCGTCCCCTGCCTCCCCACCCCCCCCGCATCCCCCCAGCCCCACTCACCACATGCAGCTCCACCTGAGAACTAAAGCATGGAGAGGGGGAGGTCGGAAACTCTCGCCCTAGAGCAGCTCCATATGTCGCTCCTCGCCGCGCCGCTCCGGGGAGGGGCCGGGTGGGATGCGGAGGAGGAGGAAAAGAGGAGGAGGAGGAGGAAGAGGAGGAGAAGGCAGGAGCAGGCGGCGTGAGGATTTAAGCCTCCGCTCTGCCCCGGCGGCTGCGATCACGCAGCATTATACAATGGAGGAGGAGAAGAAGGAGGGGAAGGAGGAGGAGGAGGAGGCACCAGCCCCGGCTCCCAGCACTTGCCGCCAGCACTGACGACAGGGGCGGCTCCAGCGAGCTCCTCACCCTCCGGACCGCGTCAAAGCTCCGCCTCGGCCCCGGCCTTCCTCCCCCCCCCCCCCCCCCCCCCCCCCCCCCCCCCCCCCCCCCCCCCCC